AAATGGATAGCGTTCCTTTCAACACCGCTTTTGGCAAGTCCAGTGGGGCTGTGAGTTCAAGATCATATTCCCTGGCAGGTGCCCAGAGGGCAGCTCCTCTGAATTGCTGGCGGGGTGGGGCTTGGGGGGGTGAGGGGGTGGTCCTGAGTCAGATGCTGTCAATCACAGCGGTGCTCACCCTTGGCTGTACGTCAGAACTGCCTGGAGAACTCTTCCCACGCGTCCTCCCCCACCCAGGCCCAGGCCACCTCCCAGACCAGTTAGATCCGAGTCTCTGAGGAGAATACAGGCACTGGCATTTTAAAGCTTCCCAGGTTAGCCCAGCGATCTGCCAGGTGTGAGCAGCAGGGCTTAAAAAGGAGCTCGCTCCCTGGGCCAGGCTGGTGTCAGCTGTAGAGATACAGAGATGAGGGAGGCTCCCAAGAGGGAGGAGAGGAGAGGATGCAGGCAGGCCAGTAAGTGGACAGTCAGAGTAAGTGTGATGAGTCCCCAGGGGATCCAAGCGGGGCACCTAAGCCGGCGTGGGGGCTCAAACTCTCCACACCCCCTTCCTCCGGAGGAGAGGCCTGGGCCGAGTTTGGGGAATAAATACCATCCAACCACGTTAAGAAGAAGGAAAATCCCGGCCAAAGCCGGGGTACAGTCCAAGGCTCTGAGGCCCGAATGGAGAGGGGGAGGGAAGGGAGCGGAAGGTTGTCTGGCACAGCTGGATCAAGGGGAGGGAGAGGGAGTAGGAGAAGAGGCCACAGACGTGGGAAGGGGCCAAATCACAAAAGGCCTCGCATGCCAAGCTAAGGAGATCGAACTTGACCCTGAAACTCAGAGGAACCTCTGGAGGTACATTTAAGTCCAGGAGTCATAGGCATGAACAAACACATCATGGGCTGGGGTCATCAAGGAGGGCTTCCTGGAGGAGGTCAGGCTTGAACTGAGGGAGGGAGAGATGTGGGCATTTTAATCAGCTTGCTTTAAAACCCTTCCCTCCCCCACGCCCTTCAAAACCGTTTGAATCACAAGCTGCCTGTGTTTAAAGACGTGTTTGTTATTTGAAGGCTGTGGTTTCTCTTCAGCAGATTCTGGGCCCCATCCTCTGACGAGGAGCCAGGAAGGAATGAAGAACTCATCCTCTTGCCCAGAGAGCTAATTATTGAAAGGCCGTGGGCCTCGCCAGGGTTTACGGCGTCACTGTTCACTATCATGCAACAGCTCCTCTTTTCTCACTGGTCAAAGTTTTCAGTACGTTTTTATGGGCTGCCCCAAAGCCAGCTGGAAGCTTTTTTTCCATAAACTCTCCCTGAGACAAGTAGCCAGGTTTCACATATTAAAATGAAAACGTCAAAAGGGTTGTTTTAAAAAAAAAAAAAAAAAAGGACGCCAGCTCATGTGTGAGGCCTCAGCTCACAAAACCTACGTTGAAGTCCAACGGTATCTGCCTGGTTTTTATCACAAAGCTCATGGTTACGTTAGAGCGATGATAGTCATCATTGATCACTTGCTTATTTGTTCACTCACCACTTCCTGGGCATTTACCGGGTACCAGGTTTGAGCTGGGCACCAACATGACAAGGTGCCTCAGGCACGATTGCCCCACCCCCACTGGGTTCGCGGGCTCAGAATACTTGAGGGTTTACAAAGTGTTTGCACGTGCAACTTTGTGATCAGTGTGTGCTCTTATTATAGCCATTTTTCAGAGGAGGAAATCGAGACTCCTAGAGGTTAACTAATTTGCCCAGAGTCACATAGTAATAAGGGGTAGCACCTGACCTTGGGTCATCCACTTTCAGATCCAACGTTCTGACCACCTTGCTCCTTTTTTAAGCAACAACACTTGTTACTGGCTTAAGTTGGACAATAGCTCCAAGGTGTTTAGCTGCCACTTACAATCTGTCCAGTATCTACCCTCACCTTAGAACCCTGGTTTCTCTTCTGAGGGAATTCTCCCATTGTGAGGAAGGGGAAAAACTGGCACCCATCTCCCATGGCCACCATCACTAGCTAAGCCTGGTGAAGCCAAATTCTTCCTTAGCATTTCCTCCCGCATGGACAGTGGGCAGATCCACATAAAATATAACCTCCGCCAATCAGATACTCATTCCTGGGACTGACTCTTGAGTGAGTGGTGAGAGGACCCTTGGAGGTCAAAATGACTCTCAGTAGAGGATCCTGGATCAGACTGTGCCTGCCGCATTCCCTTGGCTGAGCTTCCTGCAGCTCCATGGCTCTGCCCTTTGTCCAAGACTGTTCCCCAGGCTCTTATCGGCTCTGTGAGCCCTCACTATCGTCCAGTAGGTCCCTCCTTGCTTAAGATGGCCAGGGATAATCCTGGTTTCTTGTAACCGAGAATTCAGGCAGATAGATACAAGGTCTCCATTGTATTTACAAAACTAGCAAGAAATAACCACCTCCCATTGGCTGTCGGCATTGACCAAGGAGATTCACCCCAGGAAAACCATTTTTGAATGCTGTGAAAATGTGGGCACAGCCTCTCTTGTCAAGGCCTGAGAAATAGCACAGCGAATACACCCGGTTGTCCAGGCTGCTGCCTGCTGCCGTCAAAAGCCAGGCATACTCTCCTGCTCCGTGTCTCACCCCCGGGTTCGACCCCCTCAGCCCTTCAAGCTGCCACTGAGTATGCTCCTCTGTGATTCCATTCCCATCTGGGTCCTTCTGGCCTTTTAAGGGTCATGAGTGTAGAGACAGAGACTGGAGTAAAGCCCACAGGTGTGGACTGCTGAAGGCGGGCAGGGCTGGGGTACCCTGACAGAGGGTCAGGAATAAGGGGTTTGCTGAGGTGCTATGACCGCTTCTCCCACGCCCCCCACCCCGGCCACCACTCATACCCTGGGCCTGTCAAAGGCTCACAGGTGGGATCCAGACCCCAGTGCAGCTCCCGGCTCACAGGCTCCTACCCAGGGCGTCTCCCATGCGCCTCTGGCCCAGATGTTTCCTGTCTACTGCAGGAGGCGTGTGGGATCGTGAACTGTAATCTTGGAAGGGGCGGCTGTAAGATGCAGCCCAAAGTGGTCCCAGATAAACCTCTTGGAGCTATTGCCCTGGTTTAGGCCCAGAGATTCGGGCCCAGAACAGACCACAGAGAGAGACCAGGCTTGAGACTTCCTTCTCTTTAAATAGCCATAGACTTACAGCCTCTTCAAGCTGAATTGTCCCCTAGACATTCTCCCACCCAGGCAGGGACTCCCTCAGAAATTCATGAGAATGTCACATATCACAGAACACTCAACCAGAAGGGTTTTAAAATAAATTTTGGCAGTAGGAAAACTCAAGAGGACTGCTGGAGATCTGACAAAAGCAACATGATGTAAATCTCTTGGTAGGGAGGCAGGATTGCAGCTCATTTGCCGATTTACCACTTGACCTTGAATAAGTCTCTCCTGAATGACCTTGAGCAAGTCTCACCTGCTCTCCAGATACCCGTTTCTCCATGTGAACATGAGGAGTTGGGCAATGTGACTTGGAAGATCCTCTCCAGTTGTTGTGACAACCTGACCCTGAGTCTTGTGTCTGGCACCTTCTAGCTGTGTGACCTTGGGTACCTCACTTAGCATCCTTAACCTGAGTTTCGTCATCTACAAAATGCCTTGTTCATCTTGTAGAGTTGCTGTGGGGATGGAATGGGAGATGTGAAAATACCCTGTATAAACTCCAAAGAGTTATTCATATACGAAGTGTTATTGTAAGATGAAATAGCATTGCATGAAGCATCTCGGGTGTCTCAACTGCACGAGAACCTATAGGGCCAAACAGCAATATTTATAGGGGTGGAAGAAGGCATGGCGGTCAAAGCCTCTGGACCCAGACTTTCTGGGTTCACGGCTCAGCTCTGCCACATTTTCCCATTTCCTCACGTGTGGAACCCAGGGCAGTGCCTGGCATGGGCTGTGCTGATGGTGATTGCAATTGTCTGCCTATCACGAAGCAAGGGAGGCAGAGTGGAGCAGTGGGAGGACCACTGGCTTTTGACTACACCAGACCTGACTGGGTTTAAACCTCACTTCTGCCATTACTAGCCGAATCACACAAATGATCGTGTTATATCCACTCTGATCATTTTTTGCTCTCCTCTGATTATTTCTTGAGCCGTTTATAGCTTGTCTCCTTCCTGAAATGCCCAACTGGGGACCAGTTCTTGTCTGTTTCCTCTCTCTCAGCCACCCCAAGCTGATAGATACATGGATTGCTTGATTCCAGAAAAGATGCCTCTTAAATACCGGAATTCACTAATAAAATGGCTCCTTTGTATTTTAATGTGGGGATAATTTGAAAGACACCTTTACTCTTTCCCAGAAGTATCTGCTATACAATGGCACAGATTAACGAAAGACCCAGTGCTCTTGCTTTGGGCTAGAATTCTATTTGTCTATTGATTTGCTTATCTATTTATCTAATTCTATCTTTTATAGTCACATTATTTGTATCATACCAATCAAAAGCTCTGATTGAATATAATATGTGGATCTAATTCAGAAAAAAGAGAAGACAAAATAACTATCAGATAATAAACTTAATGCTTGTTGGGTCAAATCATATAAGATCATCTGTGGAGCAAGATTGAGAACTACTTATTTGTTCTAAATGTTGTGCTTCGGCCAGTGAGTAAATCTGAAGCCCAGACTGGAGAAGTGACTTATTCAAGGTTACCCAGTGAAGGAGAAACAAAGCTTAGATTAAGTTCAGAGAATCAAATAATTTTGTAGTCAGAGACCCGGTAGAGATCACCAGCCAGTATTTGCCCAGAGCCGACCGCTCCTGGTCCTGATCGCATCTCTCAACATACAATCACAATGACCTGTTGATGTGTCTGTCCGCCAGCCCCATCTCCAGATCTGGGCTTCTTGATGCCAAAGGCTGGGACTTTTATTTTTACAGTACGTCTCCCTCCGCTCCCACCCCTATTCCCAGGGTGCTGGCCCACAGCGTACTCCCCTAAACGGCTGCTGAACGTTGCAAGTGTGAATAAAGCTTTACTTGATTTTTAACAGATGTGGAGCCCAGTTCAGAGAAGAGACCCATCCCTGGTTCCACAGCAAGCTTGGAGGACGACCAACAGGATCTCCCCCGCGTCCCAGGGAAGGCGCTCTGGGGCTCACAGAGAGGACAGACACTTGACTTCTCTTGTTTCCCCACAGAAGCCACAGGTAAATGTGTTTATGGCTTGGCAGCTAACTGAGGCCACAGGCACTTCAACAGGTCACAGTCTGACCCTGTCAACTGTTCTTTTTTTTTTTCTTTTCTGTTTTTAAATGGTGTTAACAATCATCCTTTTTACTATAATTTGAAGGCTCTCAGCACCTCCACGCTGAGGCCGTTATAAACTCCCCCCCCCAAATTCAGGCAACAAAACACAGGTCCGCCCATCTGGTCAGCTACTTTCAAGGATGAGAGCACCTTTATCTGAATTATTTCCAAAACTTTTATTACAAGCGTAATTATTCAAAAAAAGCCTTTTGTTCTTTATAGAGCACTTTCATATATGCTAACTGGTCTAGCAGGCAAACAGATATTTCCAAAACAATTAAGTCCTGTAGAATGAAGATAGTGCTGCATGTTTAAAATAGGTGAATTTATTGTATATGAATTATATATACCTCAATAAAGCTGACTTTAAAGACAATGAAAATCACAAGTGACTTTTTATTTTCTTCCTTGTGCTTTTCTATATTTCCCGAGGTGTCCAAAATTGAAAGAAAAAATAGAGGGCAGACCGGGGAGGGATTCGTGCAAGCGGCGAGACTCTCTCCCGACATTCTTTGGCCTTTGCTGGTCTCCCCTGAGGCACAGCTGAGAGAAAGGGGGCTCTTCCCTACTGTGAGTGACCTTGGGGAAGTCACTCCACTTCTCCAAGCCTCTGTTCTCTCCCCTGGGGATGGGCCTGACACTTGCCATGCCTGGTTCACCGAGTCATGGCAAGTCACAGGTCACAGACACGGTAGGACGCTGGGCCATGATGGCCCTGCACACGTGACAGGTTAGCTGTGATCAAACTTCCTTTGCTGCAATCTCCCTGCCTCCCTGCCTCATCTTTAAAATTACCAAATATTTCAAACATACAGAGCACAGAGAACAAGCTGTAGACTTGAGAAGTGGAAGGAGCAGTGAGAACAGCTATGCACGAGCCCCCCAGCTTTGTCAAACTTTGACACCTTGCGACCTATGCTTCAGGTATTCTTTTCCTAAGAAATAATACATTATAGATATAATTAAATCTTCTGTGTACCACTTTCTGATCTCACCCCTTCCCTCCCTTCCCAGAGGTAACTACTCTTCTAAATTTGGTGCCTTTGATTTCCTAGGCATGTTTTATACTTTCATTATCTGACTGTATCCCTAAAAATACATATGTTGCCCTACTTCTAAATTTAAAAAAAAACAAACTTTTTATATCACACTATTCTACCACTTGGTTTTTTTTCTAGATTGTGTCTGTGTTGAGGCTTAGTTTATTTTCGCTCCCAGTATATTATTCCATTGCACATATAGATTACAATTTCTCTATCTGGACTCTTGTTGATAGACAATTAATCAGTTCCTAGTTTTTCACAATTATATACTGAGTGAATGCAGAGAGGTCACTGAATTGTAGATACGAGCATCTTCAGCTTTATTAGATGTTGCCATAATTTTCTCCAGAGTAGCGGTACCAATGTACATCTCCGTCATGCACCTGCGAGGGTCCCAACGGGGCTGCATCCTCAGTGCCCCTCCCCTCTCCCCACACTGATAGACTTCTTACTCCTCGCCCGTCTGGAGGATGTGAATGGTGTCTCACAGCTCTTTTCATTTGCATGTCTCACTTGATCAGTGAGGCCGAACACCTCTTCATATTTTTGGCCACTTAGGTTTCCTTTTTTGTGAATTGCGTGTTGATATCCTTAATCCTTTTTTTTTTTAATTGGATTGTTCGTCTCTCTCTGGTTTGTCCACACTTTCAACCTACCTCTGCCAGATCCCAAAGCAAACTCAGATCATGGTCTTTCTCTGCTCTAGACTACCCACGGCTCTCTCTAGAACATGCACAATTTACAACTTGCTCAGTGGCCCTGGTTTGCCTGTGGGCTGAAAACTGAGCCCAGCCCTGCACACTCAGCTCCACCTTCTCTCCTAGCCTTACCCTCCATTGCTTCCCTCCGCACCCTGAACTCCAGCCCAGGAGACATGACTTGTTCTGTCCCAGGCCCCCTGCACACACCATTCTCTCTGCCTGGAGCACCCACCTCCTATTTCCACGTTCCCTCTAAATGCCATCTTTTCTGTGATAGTTATCCCCTTTTCTCAATTCAAAGTTAGAGTTTGCCTCTAGACAACCACAGGTAAAACTGTCTTTCTAGTGACATTTATAATCTCTTGTTTTGTAGTGTTTTAACGACTCCTCATTTTTGCCTACCACTTTTTCATTTTCAAAAGCACCTGCTCCTGCACTATGCTATTTCATCCTCTTCTCTGCAATGGCCCTGTGAGATGGGGCTGTGCCATTACCCCCTTTGAACAGACAGGAAACGTGGCCTCCAGGGGGACTAGCTCACCCAGCATCTCGCACTGGCTCCGAGGCAGAGCTGGACTTGAAGCCAGGACTCCTCCAATTCCATATCTGGTTCACTGCCCTACCAAGGTCCATCATATTTATGTATGTGTGTTGTCAATGCTTGTACCAACATCTGACTCCCCCATGAGACTGTGGGCTCCACAGCTCCCAGTTCTAGCCCCACCCAGGGGGGCACTCAAGGAGTATATAATTTCTTGACAAAGTACAGTAATCACTTACTGCACACCCACTGGCTGCTGGGGACTTTGCATATTAACTCTAACCTTCCCAACGACAGTATTTAAATGAGGAAATTGAGTTTTAAGACTTGAAGTGATATGCTCAGGGTCCCATGGCTAGTAATCAGTGGAGTTGGCCTATGAGACCCAGAGGTAGGATCTGCCAGCTCAAAAGATCACACCCCAAGGCCCAGAGGCAGGGGGCAGAGGGTGGGCAACTTGACAGTGAATAGGGACCAGGGAAGGCTGGGGGTGGGGGAGTGCTGTCCCCTGGCCACACCCATGATGTCTCCCAGGAGGTTCTGTCCGCTGTGATGGGAGCCGGTGAGAGGAGGGCTGAGGGGTAAGGAGTGGGGGTTGGCACGTGTTCTCCACCCCACCCGCCAAAGAGTGAGTTTCGATGGGGACACCTCTGCCCATCCTCCCAAGGGCAAAAACTGGATATGAGTGGAGCCAGACCCCTTGCCTCAATCTGCTATTCCTATGACTCCATGCTGTCTTTCACCGGGTGCCACTCATTTAAATGCTGTTTGTGGGTGTGGTATTTGCAATTGTGTCTTTGTGTTGTTTCTGTGCATTGTGTTTGTGTGCAATTTGTTATTTTGTTTCTCTTGTGTGTTTTGTTACTGTTTTGTGGCTCTATGCGTGTTTGCCTGCCTTACGTGTGTGTTCTGTATTTGTCTTTATGGTGCGTTGTGCCGTGTATACCATGTATTGTGAACTTGTGTTTGTCCTGTGTGCGCTATGGATCTGTTTCTATATTCTGCGTGTGCTGTGTCTCTGTGCGGATTGTCTACGCTGCAAGTGCAGGGTGATGTGTTTCTGTTGTGCAAATCGTGTTTGGGTTGTCCTGGGTCTGTGTGTACGCAGTGAGGCTGTGTGTGTCTGCACCTCCCCGCTGTGTGTCTGCGCCAGCTGACGTCTGTGCCTTGTGCCCAGGGTTGTGTTTCCTCGACAAGTGTGTGCAAGCTCTGAGTGCCGCGCGC